TCTGAAATGAATTTGTAATTCTCTGTCATATTGTCCAGTTTTGAGTCTTCAGGGAGAAAAGAACTACAAAAAATACGAAATCAATAAATAATAAACATCGAAAACTTATGGAAGATGAAGTTGTTCATACCTTGTTTGAAAAGTAGAAATATCTTCTATAGAAGTACTTATGAAGTAATAAAGTAGGTATATATATATATATATAGAACTCTGTGTAGATATTTTTTTGTCTGGATAAAATTAGAAGAAAAAGTTAAAGATAGTTGTACTTTTCCCTGGAAAAATGGGTATAGACTAAGAAATAAGAGAGAAAATAGTCAAAGTTATCAAAGTACAGCAGAAGTATAGATTTTTGACGTGTTTCTTTTATGATTTGACTGTCTGCATAATTTTTTTTTCAATAAATTTCTTCAAAAAACTAACGGTTAAACAATTCGCTTGTAAATACAAAATGTTGGATGCCTAAAAAAAAAAAAAATTTGACGTGAGAATGTTTTGGTGTATGGAAGTACTCACCTCCGTCAAGGTTGTTGTGTCTGCATCATTGATAGATGGAGGTATTCCATCCAAGCTTGGAAGTATGGAGAAACTAAGATACTATGTGCAAAGTAAAAATTGTAATGTGCAAATTTATTCGACATGATAAATTAGGAAGAATAGTTGAAATGTTTAAGTTATAANTAAGTTATAACTTAATGCAAAGATATCAGTATTAAATAGGGAACACTGGCATTTATAGACAAGAAAAGTTCATTAAGATGGGAATGGAAGATTCCAGTGTATCGAAGCTGTTGATGGTAATGAATAAAAACTCAATTAGAATAAAACATACTCTCAACATTTTTCTCATCTATTGCTTTTGAAGCCAGTAATTTTAGCATACTGTTGAATGAAGCTGCATAAATTTTATAGTATCTGTCAGTAGAAGGATTGAACCAAAGCCTCACAGCAGTAATTAGTCCATATATAGAAAGATGAACAATTTTTTTAGCTAGATTTTACCCTTTTGAAAAACTTAAGTGTCTGAGTTAAAAAAAAAAAAAAACTTTTCTAATCTGAATGCTCAGGAAGCTGTAGATGGAAGGCAGCAAATGGTGTAATAGGTTTAGATTTAGATGGAATGGTAACATGTAAAAGTGATTAGTATGATTAGTAAAAATACCCACATTGCTACCTTCTTGAGTGCAAGAGCAAGAAGTTTACTGCTAGAAGTCATTGAATCAAGATATTTTCTGGAAATGTTAAATGTATGATTTTTGTATATAACATCCTTTTTCTTTTGTATCAAACTATTGAATAACTTGCTTTCTACACCCTTCATTTTTCTTCATCAATTACGCTTCAAAGCCATTAATAACTCTGTGATTTGCAGGGAAGAAAAGTTTGTGTAAAAAGTGTATTTCCGTGCTGACGTCTAATGCAAGGAGAAATTCCTCTGGTGATATGAAGGAATTCCTTGGACGGAGGAATTTCTCTATGTCACTGTCTTTGAACGGAGGTAAGAAGAATTTCGGAAGAATTTCTACTCGCCTCCATCTGAACGGATGAATTTCTCCTCGTGTCCATCCTTAGAAATTCCTCCAACGGAAGAATTTCTACTCGCCTGTGTCTAGATGGAGGAATTTCTCCTAGAGAGATGCAGTTTGTAATGGTTATTAAGAAAAAAAATCTGATTGAGTTATTGAAAATTAAAGATGCAAATTACATACTTCAATTTGAAAAGGAAAAGCAAAACTCTAAACTCTTTGTTAATTTTGTTCTTTTAAGTGAATGGAAAGAAGGAAAAATTCCTCCGTTCTAATGTGAATGGAGGAATTTTTCCTTGCCTCCATCCTTGAGTTCACATGCGAACGGAGGAATTTTTCCTTCTTTCCATTCACTTAAAAGAAGAAAATTAACAAAGAGTTTAGAGTTTTGCTTTTCCTTTTGAAATTGAAGTATGTAATTTGCATCTTTAATTTTCAATAACTCAATCAGATTTTTTTTCTTAATAACCATTACAAACTTCATCTCTCTTCAATATCTTTTGTTAGTTAAATTGTAAACAACCATTGAGCCTTTCTTCTTTCTGCATATTGATCCTACATCTGTTATATGTTAAACTACTCACAAAAACTAAATCTTTATAGAACTTGCATG